GACCAACATGAGATGACATGATTTAGCCTATCAAACCTTGCTAGAGCTTGAGCGCGCGCGAAGCGCGAGCGCGCGATGGTTCTAGCACACACACACACACATATATATATGTATATATATATATATATATATATATATATACAAATGACGTGATATGTGCGACGCGGCCGACCAGGCGACGCGGTGTGCGCATATAGTATAGTGATGGATGTGTGCGTCCAGCACCTCCCACTGCATCGACGCCCTCTGCGGTGGCCCATCGGGCCCGCGCCCTCGGCCCTCGGAAGCCCAGAGATGCCGATGCCGCTACTGCCCAGTGGAGGGTTGTCTCCGAAGGGCTTAGGCGACCCGTCCTCCTCTTCCGCTCTCCTCCTCCTCCTCCTCCTCCTCCTCCTCTCCTCCTCCTCCTCCCTCTCCTCCTCTTCCTCCTTCTCCCCCGCCTCCTTCTCCTCCTCCTTCTCCCCCGCCTCCTCCTCCTCCTCCTTCTCCTCCTCCTCCTCCTCCTCCTCCTCCTCCTCCTTCTCCTCCTCCTCCTCCTCCTCCTCCTCTTCCTCATCGGCTCGCCTACGGCCCCGGGGGAAACCGTGCACTCCCCAGACCTCTCCCAGGGTGCGTCCTGGCCAGACAGACCTCCGAGGCGGATCCGGCCCGTGGCGACGAGGGCCTCCGAGGAGGCCCGACACGCTGGAGGTCTGCGGATGGTGCGGACGCGCTGTGGCGAGGCCTCGGGTGGCCCGGCCCCTGGCGCGGCGGCGGTGCGCAGGCGCCCTCTGCGGCGGCACGTCGGGCCGGCGCCCCTCGGGTGTAGGCTTCCGTTCCGGAGCCACTTTGGATGGCCCCTTTGGGCCCCCCGAGGGCCGAGTAACCGAGGGCAAACTGCTCGGATTGAAGAGCTCGCCTCCTCGGAGAGCTCCGCGGGTGGCAGTGCGCAGGGCGCCCTCTGCGGTGGCCCGTCTGGCCAGCGCCCTCCGGGCTCGACGCCGCGGAGCCGCTCGCGCCGTCGCCGCCGCACGGCGCGGTGCTCCTCTCCCGCGGGTCCTGGCTGAGCCCCTTCTCAGCGTCGTTCAACCGACCCCTATCCCCCATCCCCGTGTCCCCATGCAGATCCCCACCATCTCAGCACCCCAGTTGAGGATGTACCCCTCGAAGCCCTTAGGAAACAGCCTGTATGTGAGATGTTCCAACTTACTTTCGCCTTGACCACCAGAAAAAGTTGCGAGCACCAAGCAAGTATCGAAACTGCAGGGCCTTTACGTGTCGGGCCCTGGGAGGCGATACTCGTTCGGCACTTCGCCAGCGTGTCGTGCAAACACTGTTACGATACTTTACGGGGGTGCTCGATTTGTTTGTCTGGGATGTGGTCCTCAAGTACGATGGGAACGACATAAGCCTGTATCCCCATCTACGGGGGTAAATCGGCCAGTGGGGCCCAGGCCACGGCCACTGGGATGGGGGTCGATGAAGCGATGCTCGCCTTCGGCCGCCAAAAAGGGCAGCCGAACTGGCTCAGCTCCGACGGAGTCGAGGGCACGGAGCCCGCTCGGCCGCTGAGCAGCGACGCGTGCGGGGGGTGTGCCGCACTGGCCCGAGGCCGCCGTGCGGACCCTGCCGCTGGGGGCCTTCGGTGGAGCTCTCTCTGTGTGAGCGTTGTCTTCCTCCACAGGGTAAGGCTCGTTGCCCAGCCCCCCCCCTTCCCTCCACAGGTAACGCCAACGATCTTATGGCGGGGAATGGCCTGCCTCCCCCCACATGCTGTGGTGCACACAGGCGATCGATGCGCCGGTGGCGCGGACGTACCTTGGCGGGTGCACGCCGCGGCCGCCGTTACCGTTTACCCTCCCGCCTGACCCCCACCCCCTCGGGTAACGACCGTAACGCGGAAAAGAAACAGCTTGTCACTACGGGGCCGCGACGTGTGTAGAGGGTGTGCAGAATTGGCCCGAGGCCGCCATGTGGACCCTCCCGCTGGGGCCTTCGGTGGAGCTCCCTATGGTGCCGCGAAGCGTTCGAAGGGTGTGCCGAAATTACCCGAGGCCGCCATGCGGACCCTGCAGCTGTGTGCCTTCGGTGGAGCTCCCTATGGGGAACCCCGACCTGTCGGGTGATGCCGCGCAGCCCAAGTCCCCAGCCCGTTCTACAGAACTTCCGCGCAGTAGTGGAATATTGAACCACGGGCCCCTCCGACCTCTCAAAAGAGTCCCCTTCCCCCAATAGTGCTTCTGGCGAGAGCACTGTTTTGAAAATGACCGCGTTCCCACCCTCCAAGACGTGGGCGACGCAGGGGGGCCAGGCCATGCAATCCGAGTGCGTGCCCATCGAGGGCCTCCTTGATATATACATATGTATATTCATATATATATATATATATATAGATCGATGTACGAATGTCACGCGCGGCGTTCTTGTGATCGAATGTGACCAGCGTCCCTGTGTTCATGAGGTTGTTTAGACCTTACTTGTCAGTGGTCTGCTCGGGCCGAACGAGAGGGGGGGGATAGGGAAAGCGGGGGGACGAAATCTGCTGCGTGCCGCTGGCTTGGGCCCCGCCGCTGGGCCCATTCCTCGATACGTGGGCGCCTCCCGGCGCCGGGAGGCGCCAGGAACATCAGCTGCGCGAGCTGATTCTCAAACCCTCCCCTTTGCTATCCCCCCCTCTCGCCCGACCCGATTTTAGAACGCTGTTGCTGTTGGCTGAGGTCGTTTCTGTTGCACCAATCGGTGCTGTGTTGTAGAGGTGTTTTGGATACCAGAGCATTTCTTTAGTTCTAAGAACGCGTCGTCGTCGCCCCCCTTTGCTATCCCCCCCTCTCGCCCGGCCCGATCTGTGTGGTATCCGCTTCATTGAATGAGCCGTGCCCCTGCAGGGCGTCTGATCCAGCGTGACCCTGCCCGCTGGCGAGCCCACGGCGCGTGTCGTGTAGGGCCCCTCGGGCGCGCGGACCCCCCGCCCACGGCAGCACGTCCCTCGCGCGGAGCGCGCTCCTGCGGGGCTCTTTTCAAAGTCCTCGGTTGATGCCCGACTGGTTCGCATTTGTTTCAAAGCTTTCATTGTTTTCTTCATAGCTTATCTCGCACCTGTTTTCGCAGCTTTTGATCAGCAACTGGTCTTTCATTCCTCGCCGCGTCCAGTCCCATCCCCCTACAACTTGTCATAATGTTCTATTGCACGTGCTTGACTTCTCGCTGCGAGCGATGTTTGGAGAATTTGTTATACTGTTTCAGTGTTTTTTCGCATTTGAGTTGATTCGGCTGCCTGCGGTAAATCTCGCCAGCGTGCCCGTGCAACAGCGTTGCAGGAAGGAGACCGATTGCAAAAGAGCGCAATTCGTACATGCAGTACGATAAGGACGGGTCGTGAACTCGACCGCTTTTTCGTCCGCGCGGTAGGATGGATCTCGAGTTCACACGTCGCGGCAGTTCAGCGAGTGTTCTGAACTGGGGATGGTCGTGATCTCGACATCGTCTTCGTCCGCGCGGTAGGGAGGAGGAGGAGGAGGAGGAGGAGGAGGAGGAGGAGGAGGAGGAGGAGGAGGAGGAGGAGGAAGAGGAGGAGGAGGAGGAGGAGGAGGAGGAGGAGGAGGAGGAGGAGGAGGAGCAGGAGGAGGAGGAGGAGGAGGAGAGGGACCACATGATGGCGAGGAGGAGAAAACTTCTTGGACCCTCTTGGGGCTTCCTGGGTTCCTCCTGGGAGCCTCCTCAGGGGCCTCTTGGGGACCTCTTGGGGGCCTCTTGGGGGCCTCAGAGAGGCGATTGGCCCGTCTGGCACATTCGGAGGCCGTTTTGGGGGCCTCTCTAGGCCGTCCTGGTGCCCTGTTGGAGCGCTTTAGGGCTGTCTTGGGCCCTCTTGGGGGCGTCTCGGGCGATCTTGAGGTCCTCTTGGGCCGACTCCGGACCCTCGTGGGGGCATAACGGGTTGCCTTGGAGCTATATTGGAATCCCCTTGGGCCTTTTGGGCAGTCGGAAACCATAAAAAAACGAGAATGTGAAAACCATTCAGACCTCGAGTGGAAATCACTGGTTTTGGCTTTTGGCGTCCTAGGGCTCTTCTGGAGGGCCTCTTGGAGCCCTCTTTGGCCGTCTTGGGGGCCACTTGGGCCGTCTTCGGGCTGTCTTGAGAGCCTCTTGGGCCATCTTGCGCCATCTGGAGTAGTTTGGGTGTCGTCTTGCCTGTATGAGAAGCCGTCCTGGAGGCCATCTTGGCCATTTGGACGCTGAAAAGAATACCGGACAACCGTTTCTCAGGGACCGATGTTCGAACCACGCGTGGAACGAGGGAGGGGGCCTAGACAACCCTTAAATTCTTTCCTAGAGAATTGATGGGCATTCTAGCACGCCCACTATATTCAGGCATGGTGGTGGATCTGAAAGTTAATCGGTTAGCTCACTTACAAGCCATACGTGTACAATCAGGCTGATCTGACTAAGTTCGGTTACATCCCAGTTGTAGCGCCTTGCAAGTTGTTGTAAGGTTTATGCTATTTTTGAAATTAGTAACCAACTTCGAAGGCAAAGCATGACAAGCCGTTGGCCAGCTTATAGCCAAGCTTGGCCAGCTCAGAATCACACCCGGCCAGCTTACAACGCACGCGTAACCAACTCGTAGAAGGGACTTCTTCGGAAACTGAAGCATCTGCACGACTTTTTTGAGGGTCGGGGACGACGTCGGGGTGGTGTGGTGTATACTTTCTTCCCCGCCTCCCCGGGGAATCCACGAAAAGGGTGCACACCAGGATCCCGCACACCCCATCTCCGCGTTCCCGTGCGAGCCTCCGTGCGGGGCCAGAAAAAGAGTGTAGGTGTATAGACCTCGGCCCCCTATAGTGTTGTTTTGAATACATGCTCCGCGTGCGGATCATGTATTGAAAATGCAGGGATTTAGTATTATAAACAACGGTGAGTTCATGCGTAAACTTATCCACACGTGAATCATGTGTTGCAAATCCTATATTTTTGAAAACCCAATGTCTTAAAAACTGCCTTGTACTTCCTGGCAAGCGGAGGGTGGGCTCAGCCTGGGCGCCCGTGGGGTGCTCCCCGCCCCGCGGCCCCGCGCGCCGACGCCGCCGGACGGCGCGGTGCTCCTCGGGCGGCTGGGGGCGCCGCGGGCCGTCGGCGCGGCGGCGCGCTCGGCGCGGCGCATCGCCGTGGACGTGCGGGACCCGCTGGGCTGCGACGGCGGCGGCAGGACGCGGCTTCGACCTGTCTCGGGCCGGACGCAAGGGGGGGATGGGGAACGGGGGTGTTACGAAGTCTGCTGCATGCAGTTGGTTTCGGCCCCACCGAGGGGCCCATTCCTCGATACATGGGCGCCTCCAGGCGCCGGGAGGCGCCGGGAAAATCAGCTGCGCGAGCTGATTCTCAATCCCCCCCTTTGCTATCCCCCCCTTTCGCCCGACCCGATTTTAGAACGCTGTTGCTGTTGGCTGAGGTCGTTTCTGTTGCACCAATCGGTGCTGTGTTGTAGAGGTGTTTTGGATACCAGAGCATTTCTTTAGTTCTAAGAACGCGTCGTGGTAGGCCTACAGGACTGCTGGAACGGTCGGTCCCTGCTCAATCGTCGTCGTCGTCGCCACCGCCGCTGCCGCTGCCGCCCTTGTCGTCGTCGTCGTCGCTGCCGTCGAGGCTCCTCGGACCTTGAACGACGATCGAGGGTTCAGGATCGAGAGTTTGGGCGTTGTTTGGTGCCCCTGGGGGCTCAGGGAGGCCTCCAGGGATACCCCCCCAGGCCTCAGGGACCTACATGCCCCCCTGGAGACCTCTCCTGGGACCGCCGTCGTCGTCGTCGTCGTCGTCGTCTTCGTCGTCGTCGTTCCATCTGGCGGTTTCGAGGCCTCGCCACGACCCCCTCCGTGCAAGCAAATTTGCCCGCTGTTTCCTGCTTGCCGTCCGCCCCGCGTTTCATCATCCTCCAGTGGTGTCTGCGCTCTTGGTGACGCCTCTTGTGAGGTTCCCATCTCCCGGCGGTCTTCAATCTCACGTCGTGGAGCCAGTTGTGCTTCGGGCTCGTGGGGAGGAAATCAGTTCGACAAAGAACCTAACTGTTTCTCAAAAAGGGGGAGAGTCTGAGGAGGACCGCTCACTGCACTAGAATAGTGTGAGTGGCCTGTGGTGCCCCTAGACGCCTCGCCAGAAGTGTTAAATCACACTGAACGTGTAAGGTGTGTGTGTGTGTGTGTGCCGACATGGGGCGGGGCACCATGTGGGCGCAGCCACTGAAGCCTCCGGTGGAGGTCCCGGTGGGGACACGAAACATTCGAGGAGTTTGCTGGCGCAGCCAGTGGGGCCGAAGGCGGTGCTACATATGGCGGCGCGAGGCGTGTGAGGGGTGGGCCGAAGCGGACATGCGGAAGCCAGAGCAAGGAGGGGAGGAGGATACCACGAGCAGAGGAGGAGGAGGAGGAGGAGGAGGAGGAGGAGGAAAAGGAGCTGGAGGGGGAGGAGGAGGAAGAGGAGGAGGAGGAGGAGGAGGAGGAGGACCAAGCAGGACGTGTGTTAGAACATGGCTCTGCGACCAGCAGCTGTGGGCCGACGGCACTGTTGGCTCTTGGCACCTTTTGTGGAGCTTACGCCTCGCTCGAGCACAAGAACATCATGACTACCATTCGATCGTTCCCGTGCAAACTCTCCTGAGGAATTTGCATGGTAGCGGAGCGAGGTTGACGGCAACTGGAGCCGCAGCAGCAGCGGCGCCTGCCCATCCCGGAGATCTGCGCCCAGAGTTGAACACGCATTAAGATTGAGATCAATAATTCAGTCTGGACCCAGCGAGCATCCGTGAGCTATGTGAGGCGGCCTGCGATGGTGGAGACTACAGTTTTGTTAAAGTGGCGCTGAGACTGCCTGCTCCGCAACACCGTGAATCGCGACATGCGCAAAAACTCAAATCCAGGATCGAGAACCTCGAGAACCAAACGGGCGATCAAAATAACACAGTGGAGCAGGCCATACAAATAGCCAAACCCATCGCTGAAAGTCAAGTAGTGGGTATAAGGCTACGCAGCAGTTGAAGACTTCTGCAGATGACCGAGCCAAGCTTCGGGAATGAAGCGAGCAACTGCGAAACGCACCAGCTCAGGTTAACTCACCGCGCCGACGGGCGTTAAGCTGTTGGGTGACGAGCTGGCCACCATGGACGGGCTATGAAGGATGAAGACGACGACATGCTCAGGATTTTCAGTGGCAGGTTAACTGCGCCTGAATATGCCAAGGCTCACCTGGTGAAGCAATAGGAGGATAATTACAAAAAGGGAATTCGACATAACGGAGGAGATGGTCCGCACACTGGATGAGGACATGTGGTACATACTAAATGGTAAACCAGAAGGAGTGGAGCCAAGGGGAAAGCTTCAAGGGATCATGGAGGGTACGGACTACCGGCTTACCAGAACACCTACAAGTGACATTCTGCTGTTACTAACGTGGCCTTACCAGCCCGAATGCGCCTGGCCATGGGCCCGGACAAGCCCAAGACAATCGGAAACGTGGCCACCCAGGTAGAACAGTGGACCGCACTCGTAGAAACGCTGGAATAATATTGTCCAGCATGCTCGTTAAACTTCCCGTTCCGCAGCACTTCGTTAAGGACAACTGTTGCGGCGCGCGGGAGACTTGCTGGAGAGGTGGTACCAGGAGTGTTTCAAAACGCCAGATTCGCTGACAACAGGGAACTATCAAACAAACTTTAACTACGAAGACTGGACTCGACAGAAAACGGTAGTTGCCGACACGGACAATCGCGATGCCATGAACATCAGATGTGGTCAGCGGAAGCAGGGGGGATCAGGGACCCCCCTGGGACTCACATGAAGGTTGGAACGTCGACAGCTACGTGGGTGATGGCGGCTACTGGTGGCCCAGCGACGCGGCATGGAGTTGCGAGGATGAGCGCAGTGGAGGAGAATGAGTAGACGCAGTTAACATGGGTAAAGTCAACGGAGGAATGGAGTCTCAATGTTTCAGGCGTGGCCTCTTCGGACACATTGCTGCGAACTGTCGGGAAGGAGGGGGCCAGGGCAACAGCGGAAAGAGCGGGGGCAAGGGAGGGACTATGACATATTGTAAGTATGTAAACGGGGGAAGCCAGGGCAAAGGAGTAAGTTGCAACGGGCAAAATGGCAGAGGACAAGGTAAGTGGTCCAAAGGAGGATTTGCGCTTACACATGAACGATGGTGTTGCAAGTGCGGAAAGAAGGGGCACGTAGCAGCGCAGTGTAGCGAAACGGGGGCCCACGAGGTGGAACGTAACCAAGAGGCAAATCCGCGTTAGAGAACCTTCGGGGCCCCAGACAGCAACCAGGGCATCCCCCTCGGCCAGCCCATGCCGGGGCGCCATGGGGCCGGCCCCCCGCTGATCCACCGGGATTGGGCGAGGGGGCGCAGCAGTGCCAGCGGTGGAACAACACAGGAGCCATCGGGCGGGAGCGGCGATGAGAGTTACGCGCGAGGGCGAAGAAGGCTGTTTGATTGGATGCCCCACTCGATTCGGGCGTCAAGCGGGGCGTCGAAAGAGCTTGCGAGTCGGGCAAAATTGGCAGCATAAGTGAGCTGAAATACAGGTAGTGGGGGCACCTGGCGCCAGAGAGGTCAATGAGGGTCCCAGCGAGGGTGCCCTCGGATCCTATGAAACGATGACGGTTCCCGTGTGCTCAGGAGCGCACATCGCCGCGGCGCTGCCGAGTTCAGGGGGGGGGGGGCACTTTCCAATTGCTCTCGCTGAGGCATAGCGCGCAGGTAAACGTTGCTGCGCTGCTAACGGCGTAGCTATCAGGAATTGCGGGCAGAGTGATCGCTGGCAGCAATGAGCAGGTGGCGCGCGGGGAATAGTGGAAGCCAGTAGTCGAATTACCTTGGGCCGAGACGGACGCAAATGGCCTTGCAGTTGCATGGGGCGCAAGGCAGCGGGGCAGAGAACAGTTGTGCATGGGAGAGGAGGGGCGCTCCAGTACGATATCAGCGCTCCGAGGGAATATGCAACTCAGGAAATATGGGATCAGCCAGAGAAGTTGCCCGCGGCGGCGATGATCCGAAACGGGAAATCCTAGCGGGGGCGCGTTCCATTGAGTTCTCCGACGCCCGGAAGGCCCATTCACACGTGCATGATATCAGAAGTGGGCGGTGCAGCAGATGACGGGGGCGAGGTCCATGCGGGCAGTGAGTTGCGCGAAGTACCCGGCGCACATGTTACGGAGGAGGCCGATGGCCGAGGAAGGCGCGCTGTGACCTGAGGCCGAGCGAAGAAACAGCGTCATATTGGCAAGACAGCGGGCGTGTTCCGCCGAACCTTGCGACCCCGCTGCGCTGGGGGAGCGGGGGGGATATGGAATCGCATCAGGAAGCTGCGCGAGCCGAACGCGGGGGCGCCCATCATCTCCGCTGACTACGCGCGGTTGCAAGGTTAAAAGGATGAGGAAGAGGTGGGGAAGAGGAAGAGGTTAAAAGGAAGAGGTGGGGAAGAGGTGAGGATGAGCGCGCGGGTGAGGAAGAGGTTCAAAGGATGTGCGCGCCGCAGAAACACCGAGCCAGTTTGGAGCATAGTTGTGTTTCAATGGGGGTAAGACCCTTATTGTATCGAAGTCGTGGACGGCCTGCTATCGCACGCAGGCCGTCCATGCGTCATACTGCAGAACGACGTCGAGCCGGCCATCGCTGCTTTGAGGGGTGTTTTTAGTGGGATGTGCGGCGTGAGTCTGAGGGTGCTAATCCGTCCAGATGGAGGTTCTCAAAGCAGCGGGGAAATCGAGAGAGCCATTCGAATCGTGCAAGGTCAAGCGAGGGCATTGAAAAGTGCACTGGGCGAGAAATCGCAGACGGGATTTGGAGAACACCACGCACTTTTTTTCCTTGGTTTCTCGCAGATGCGTCGTGTGTACACGACAAGTTCGCGACTGGAGCCGATGGCCTGACCGCCCGCGGAAGGTGCAGGGTGAGAACACGTAGCGCACCAGTGCCAACCTCGGGGGATTTCACCGCGCGTCTCAAGGCACAAAACAATGAACATAATTCAGAGTTTGAGAGTAGGTGGGGCATTTGACCGCTGCTGGGCGTTAGCGATACCCGCCGGGAGATGATAGTCGGCACCCCGTAAGGGTCTGTTAAATCGAAGGAGTGCCACACGAATGGGAGCGAAAAGCGGGGTGGGACATCGAACAGGTGGCCAACATCAAAGGGGCTACCATGGCAGCCAGG